GAAATTTACATGCAGTCGTAAAAAGAAACACACAATGAAACCGTCCAACGACATCACGAAAAAAAAAATCATTTAACGGTTTCCAAAGAACGATGGAAAAGTATCTCTGCCATAACTAGTCTTGCGAATTTGTTATAGACATCAACCATGCGAACAAAACGGTGTTAAAATGGAAATATACAGCGTATTCGTCAACAATGCCACTGAGAAACAAGCAGGAATGAACCAAATAAATATAGAATAAGCACACGAGGCACTACTATTGTAAATGAGCGGTTGTCCCACGATACATGCACATCTACCTGCTTTAGAGAACAGACTCTGGTGATGATGTATCTGCAGGACTCACAAGCCAAGAGACAGCCAGTGCAAAGCATCACGGTAAACCAACTTCACGAGAAACAAGATCTATATGGATTGAAAATAAGTACCAGGCATCTCTTTAGGAGACCTTATGAAAGGGACCTTTCAGAGAGAAATCTTATTTCAAATAAAATTGGTTTACCACGGTTTGATCTCAGATACTTGATTGCCACTTCAGAGAAAGGTATGGTCTTTCAATGTCTTTTTCATACTTGATTTAATCAATTAATTTGTACAAGCCATAAAACCTCTATGTGGTGACGGAAAACCCCTATCAAAATGAAAATATGGTATGAGCGAGAGGTTGTTTGGACGCTGGTGTGCTCTAACATCGATGTAAGGTTTCATTTATTATCATGGCTACTATACTTCAATATACAAAATCACCTTTCAGAAATAAGCTAGGATCTTCACCTGAGGGGGATACGCCACTTCCACATGTCTTAAGACACCATTTAATCTTCTTCGGTAACATGATAACACATTTCTCTTATTAATACTATTCGTTCTAAATGATTATAATCCTCGCCAGAGTCTTCAATTGCTTCATAAACCAGATACGTCTTTTCTGCTGCTATTCTTAAAATACTGCAAGACTTCTAACGTGATTTTAAAATACGACTTTTGAATTCCTTTGGAGTACAAGTGTGATGACGAAAGTCATTATATTCATTGAACAGCTTAATACAGATTTGGTTCCATGGTGTTCTGACGTCATTATAGTCTGATTTGAGCACGTGCCACGCCAGGAGCTCTCAGAGCTATGGTCGTTTCGTGTAATAAGATGCTTATCTGGAACATCCCTGGAAGGAGTCTTAGGGAAGCTGGTTATGGGTAATTGCAATAGAAGTATGCTTGCCTCTGGTCATTCTTGGTGACTTGGACTTTAACACAATGGGAGTCCTCTAAGGTTACTACTTTGCAGAGATGCCAACACCAGTATGGCTATCTTTATTTTACAAGCATCACAAATTATTTTCGCTTTACAATTACCAAACAATTATCAAGATAAAAATAAAATCTAGACCTTTGATGTGATTATCTAGTTAAGTTCTATCCTTGCTGAATGTGAAATAACCCCTTTATAAAACATGCACATCTTGGTAGATGATGGTCAAAATGCTATATTCATAGAAAGCAATGCATGTATATAACGTATAAATATGTCTATAGATTTAGGTCAGCACAGGGAGGTCTAGGCATAAGCAAAGAATTGCAGCCAAGAAGCATTTGCCTTGCCATACTTCAGAGTGATCGGTTTTTAAGATAGATTCCCCTGAGATCAGCAAATCTGTAGCAAGATTCCTCTTGTGATACCATGATACAGAGAAGGTTCGTGTATTTAATCCATTAGCTCCCACAGACACAAGTTCAAAGCGCAGTCTTTCGTCAGGAGACAATGAAGAACGGAAATAAACACCAAGGAACTACTCCGAAGAACCACACAGAATAGGACTTCCGGTGTCCTTGAACAGAACCAACACCATCACACCATCACATCCACCACACCAACATCACATCCACCACCTCAACTACCATCACTACCATCTCCATCGAAACATCACCGCGATGGACACGTTGTCCCATCTAACAATATTCTGAAAACCTACCATCACCGGTCAATTGGCGATATTTCAAGGACACAACATAGATATATTATTCTGTCACATGTTTTAGATAATAAAACACATTCACCGTCCAGTTATTAGACTTAGGCGGGAAACTGACACACCATAAAAATGTTTAAGTCCACATAAGATCATATCGTGAAGGATAACCATCAACAACTCTAAACATATCACACAGTATCAGACAACTGTGAAGATGACAATATGACGCAAGATTGCAAAATGTGTCATTATCGCAGCTTTTGTAGAAGGATATTCACACCTATTGAAACCATCACAGAAAAAAGCGAATTATATGTGTAAACATATGTCTCCTACCACTCATACACCAATGAAACATCAACGGTGATTCGGCTGCTGAAACATCACTAGATGCTCATCCGGTTTGGCAATATGTTGCCTCGAGCATGGTCATCCCTTTGCTAGTATCCAGTGAGTATTGTCATCCATGTATCCATGTTTTCCATCATAGGTCCATGTAGCAAATGTTTAGAAACATCGGCATCAATACTCGTACTGTGTTTCACATCACGTGAGATGAAGCATGAAGTATGATGTAACCCCGAGCAACCGACGCTGAAGGTTCTGGGGTGAATCAGTGAAATGGTGGTTTCTCTAACCATCTACATAAATCATTCTGCACTATTATCTGTCCACCCCTATTGTCATTCTACATATATACTGAACAAAAAAAGTAATGCATCATGAATATTTTGGGATTTACTTTATGAAACTGAATGCTCAGTCTACACAAAATGAATCCAAAAATATATATGATCCCTAACTTGTTTTGATCGGTATACATATTATGAATTAAAAGAAGATTACCGTAATATTCTACGTCATCTATCGAATCATGAAGAAGTAGCCATGCCAAATCTCCCCTGCTAACCTACATGCTGTCTAATTTTGATATAGAAAAAAATAAACTGATCTGAAACTTTACTGATTTCAAACCATGCATGCTGATCTACATAGTTTTGAAGAATATCATCAATCTAAGCTACATAGTAGTGGCTAGCTAATGATGTGTGTTAGCTCCAGCAGAGGGTGGTAGAATAACCTTACAATACACATCTGTAGGCAGAACACATACATTGCAGTTTCATTCAGAATACTAAGATTATTATGCACGCTGAGGGCACAGTTTGAATGAACTCGGATGCTCATAATTTTGTGTCATATTGATGGCCTCATTTGTATTGGAACTTGGAGGATCGCATTGAAGTGGTTACAAAGGAGAGGTTTTTGAAGTGGCAGTTCGAGATGCAAAAGCTTAGACATATATTATAACATTGTCCAAAAGTGAAATTGATTCTGGGTTGGAATGTAACTGCACTGTATGCCAGCTGTATCTTGCCATGCACAAAGCTGCCAGGTGCAGTGTCTGTTGTGTCTGCAGCTGCTGAAACAGCTGTTATGAAGTATCACAGCTGTGACACCACCAGACACACCATCTCCAGCTTCCAGCTGCCACGTGACCATGTACAGTCAGACGTGACCTCTTCAAGGTCAACCACAAGTTTACAAACAGTCTACCTTCACAGTTGTCAAAAGCACGTATGCTCACAGCTGTACCGTAGCAAGCAAACTCTAGAGCTCACGCCTGTCATAAGCGGTGACGATTGCTGTGCCAACTGGCATCATTCACAGCTGACAGTCGCCATAGGACGTAGAAACAGCTGCAAGGCGCTGTTAGGTGAGTTAGCACCTGACCCAAAGACAAAGAGGATGACTCAGATTTGAGAGCAGTAACAATTTCACTTGGCGTCTGTCAGCTACGAGTGACGCACTGTGGAGCTGTCAGCTGTGATGGTCCAACGTACAGCTGCCAGCTGTGAGGCTTTTACAGCTGCTGCCTGTGCCACTAACTGAACTAAAGTCCTGTACAAATACTTGCCCTTCTCCAGAACGGCTTTGGGTGCTAAACATAAATATACGTTCTCACTTTACAAACTTACAAACATGAAACACTTCTTCAGGAAGCGTTTCCGGGGCACATCCAGAAGGAAACAATTTCAAAAACACATGATCGTTGAAATAATATTGGCATCGTATCGGAAACGGTCGTATTAAATAGTTAACTAAAAGGGGTTAGTTCATGACACATCTGATTGAAAACCTCTTCTGACAGGTCCATTAGGTCGTTAGTGGTTGATTTGTTAGAGGAATACAATCAAACAAACCCAGAGTTTAAACCACTAACAGTCCATGCACACGCAGGTTACTGTCAACAAGAAATGATGTGTAGAGGGTCGATACCATAGAGAAAGTCTACAAATAGCAACAAGAATGTTTTATGAAATTTGGAAACGAGTGAGTATAGTTTAACGCCGCATGGAACAGTTTTGCAGTCATACCACGGCGTATCAGCTTTGGGAAAACCCAAAGTGGTACAGGTCATGTTTACCACTTCGGTGAATCCCACGATCACAGGTATTGTGCTGATAAATTTAGAAACGTGATCGGGGCGATCTGAGGTTCGAACTATGATCATAGCTTTCTGGTGTGCTCAAGGGACGCAACTCTGCCAGCGAACTGCCTAAGAAGACAGGGCAAAGGCCCCTGAAATAAAGGAATGCATGTTGCCATCATATGGATCTGCATTAATAGCTGGATGTCCATTCATATGAGAACTATTTCTTATATGGAGGTTTTAAATTATTGTTGGAAATTAGTTTCAGTTTTGATTGATTCCGTCAAGGTATTTGTGTGGGTTGCCCTGGTAACCATAAAACGCAGGTGCATGTAATGTGGCATGAACATGGTTCTCATAGTTGTGAGGTCAAGGTCATTTTTGCAACTCGTCCAGCCTTGAACATTGTTACACGTCTTCAACACGAGTCTAGGATCATTGGGATCAGAGTGATGGAAGGTAAGCATTGGGAAGGATGTGATATGGACACGCTTGTGCTACGTCACGTTGGTCACTGACCTGTAAAGTCATGCGTCATAGCGGCCACTAAAATATGACGTGTTATGCAAAGCTGTAACAAAAAGGTCACTTACCTGAGGTTGACAATTCAGGAGTGGCTGTGATGACGTCATCCTTTTAAGAGATTCCTCATCGGCATCAAGGAGGTTGTTGGTGCTGGAGTTGTCGACAGGCATCCCCTTGACGTCGTCACAGTCCTCGGCGCCAGTGTGAGGAAACTGCGTCTGGTTATACTTGATAACACACGGAGGTGGACTGGGCGCACACTTGCTGTCTGTGCTACTGTCATCCCCGCCGCAGTTGTCTCCCTTATGGCTGGGGGAATTGACCTCCATGAGGTCAACACTGCGAGCGAAGGCATCGCGCAAGTTGATAGAATGGAAGGACACAATACTGCCCGTCCTTTTGGCCTTCTCAAGCGCCTCGCGTCGTTTGAACGCCTTCTCTCTGCGCATCTGGTCCTTATAAAACTCCGCGAAGTTGTTCACTATAATGGGAATCGGCAATGCAATAACAAGCACACCGCATATACAACACACACTACCGACAACCTTCCCCAGGACCGTGGTCGGCGCTATATCACCGTAGCCCACAGTGGTCATTGTAATGGCTGCCCACCAGAACGTTTCCGGTATACTTTTAAACTTAGTCTCTGGCTGGTCTTTTTCAGCAAAATAAGCTAAACTTGAAAACAGTAATATAGAAATGGCAAGAAACATCAACAGCAAGCCTAATTCCTTGTAACTCCTTTGCAACGTGTAACCCAGAGACTGCAGGCCTGTCGAATGTCGGGCAAGTTTTAATATACGTAAAATTCGCATAATTCGAAAAATTTGAACAACACGTCGCACATTCTGAAATTGCTCCGTTGTGCTTTTGTTCGTTTCAGTTAATCCTAGAGAAATGAAATAAGGTAGGATGGCGAGAAGGTCTATCACATTTAGTGGGCCTTTGAAAAACTTCCACTTGTTTGGCGATGCCCAGAATCGGGCTAAGTACTCTAATGTAAACCAGCCAATGCACACAGCTTCCACCACAGCCAGCTCGGAGTTATCCGAGCGGTCTCTTGGGTTGTGTCTGTCCTGCAGCTGGGGGATGGTATTAAGGGTCAGCGCGATTGTGGATAACACGATGAACAGGATAGATATGATAGCCAATACCTGAAACAGAGTTAACCACAGTATAGTCATACTAGCCGGAACACGCGGCGCCACAGGGAAGCAAGGCGGAGCAGGAGGATGAGGAGGAGGAGGAGGAGGTGATGATGGAGCAGAGAAGAGGTCGCAGATGATGCAGCAGCGTATGTTAGAAGCTGGTTAAAAGTAGGGGAGAAGAGAGCTTGATGAGGAAGGGGAATAGAGTGAATTTGAGGAATAGGAACGTCAAACTGTATCCAGAAATCTGAAGAATGGACAACCTGTTTCGTTTGCCTTCTAAGACGAATTCGTCAGTTCTGGTTGAGGTTAGGGCCAACTGGCTTGGTATGAGGGATGAAATGGGCGCTTGGGCTGAGATAAGGGGTATTAGGTCATGGCACATGTGGGCAAAAATGACATTTTGAATATGCTTACCCTCATGGAAAGATGAGATGAGAAAGAACAAAAGATGTTAGAGAATCATCGTGTTTTGCAATATTTAAGAGAAAGGCTATATATTTTTGTGATGAATTGGTAAACAGTTCATGAATTATATTTTTACTGTTGGTAACCTAACAACGTCTTAAAAGACTAAGGACTTTGTATTCAACAACAGCGGGTAATGGAATGGCTAAGAGATGCAACTCTACACATTGAGCAACCTAGAACCTAATGAAAATAACCAGGGGATGGGACAGGTCCATTTAAAAATAAGGACTTGCTGGAACACCAGAACATCTTATTAGAGCACAGATACTATTACACATGTTTCAATACATGAACATGCCTTTGTTTTGGGCAAGTCTGAAAAATTGCACTGTATCGCTGTATTAGAGAACTGAAGAAGACCAAGAACAGAGGACATGAGAGAAAAATTCAGGGCAAAAAGGACGTAAAGACAGCAACAAGAAGGGTAGGTTTTCAAAAAGTGGGAATATCAAGGGCAAGGATATCACACATCAATTATACATTCCTTGGTAAAGTCTTGCAGAGCCGGGAAATAGCATGGAGTGAAACAATGCCACTTGAAGGAACAAGAAGATAGATCAAGCCATGGCAGCATCAAATGAAATGCTTCTCTGGGAAATGAAAGTGGTAAGCAGTCTCGAACTTGTGGTAGATCAAAAACCTAGGCGATAGATTTAACAAAACGGGGAGGAACATTGGGAGGTATCTGACATCAGGGCCTAGATTTTTGAAGCTCTCTTAGCGCTAAGATAGTCGTAAGTGCCATACATTCACATTAACTTACGACTATCTTAGCGCCAAGAGAGCTTCGAAAATCTAGGCCCAGGACAACAATTTGATGTTCCAGTTTTGAAAGAAAGTTTGCAACGAAGGTGCGACTGGTGATATGTATTGGGCAGATAGGCTGATTGGGATAATGACTCGATTGTTGCCAACAAAGGGTGAATAGGGTTTTGTTGTGGTTGCATTGTGATTGCGGGTGCATGTTTTACAATGGATGGCTGAGTGAAATATTAATATTTGTTCGGGATGAAAGAATCTGACAGTTATGTGAGAAGCAGCATTTGTACTGATAGAATGTGTAAATGGCTTCCAACCTGTATATCTGATAGTGACGGGTGGAAAACAACGAAAACTTTGAGAGGTGTGGTTACGCATGGAATACAATGAAAACTTCGAGAGGAGCAGTTACGGTTGAAATACAATGAAGAGTTCAAGAGGGGGAGTTACAGGCAGAATACAGTTGAGACTTCTAGAAGGACAATTATGGTTCGAATACAATGAAACCGTCAAGAGGGGTATTTACGAATGGAATACAATAAACACTTTGAGGAAGAAGTTACAGGTAGAATACAGTTGAGACTTCAATAAAGAGTTTGAGTAGGTTGGAATCAACTGAAGACTAGTAATGGATATAGAAAGAAGATAATCAATGGTTTTTCTTTGCATATTGAGGAAGACACAACACAGAAGTGATGTTGAGGAAAGGGGTTGGGTTGGACTCTATATTTGTTTGTTGGATTACTCTCCAACCAGCATTAGTATGCATTCGTCTGATATGAGCAATGGCTGCAGGGAGTCACACCGTTGAACCACTGACGTTAACGACCACCCAAACTAACATCCGTTCATGCGCCCCTTGGCGAGTCCCAAGGAATAGTCACGGTGAGAAAGGGTGGGTAGGATAACTAAGGGGGTGATGTTTTTTAACGCCCCTTTGAACATTATTCCAGAGATATCGCAGCGTGTCAGTTTCATGTCAGGTGAAACCCATGAGGTATGGTGCTGACAAACCTATAAACAATCTGGGTGAAGCGTGATTTGAACTCACGATCACAGGTTTCTGACACGTCCAAGGGACGTAACTCTGGATAACGAGTTACAGGGATGAGAGTGCCCATGCATGTGAATTTGGGTGAGACGGTGTGATCTCGAACATACGAACGATTCCATGATGCAAAGACGGCAATGCAGTCTGGTAAACAACAGATCGTTCAGTGATGGTGATTCAGTGCATGTCAAACGGTTAGAGTGAGTGATGAAGACTGATGTGTGACAATGAACGTAAAGAGTGACATGATGCAAAAGAGTGACAAAGGTGAGAGTGAGGGGAAGGATTGGGTTGAGGGTATATGATTGAGAGTTGACGCTGAGGGTAAGGGATGAGGGTGTTGGGGGTTATGGTGGAGATATTTGATGTTCTTACATCACCACTCACAGTCCAAAACAGGTTGTAAACATGCCTGAATCAGATCCAGGTTTTGCCAGAAAAGGCAGAGACAGTGGTCCAGATGAGCTAGCAAGAGCGAGGTACAACAAAGCTCATGAAGGGGAATGAGAAGAGCAACAAGATGCATGACAGGAAGGACAGAGAAGCTGGTCTAGGAAGAGGATGAGGAACATGAAGATGGAAGTCCTGAGCGAGGTGATGGGCATGAGGATTGAGACAGTGAGCGGCGGTAGACAAACGGAGCCCTGATAGTAATGTGTGCTGTATACAGTGTCATGTTGTTGCACTCCTGATTCCCAGTAGAGACAAAAGCTGAAAGGAAGACTCACGCCGAATTTAGGGACAGGACAACACCAGGCTGGTGGAGAGGCAGATATAGAGATCACTACACCAGGATATTACACAACAACTACAAGCATTTCAAGAGAGTGATTAGTAGCAAAACACCGAAGAGAAGCAGTGCATTTTTCAGGATGTTCAAACCATTTGCCATTATTTAATAAAAGCGTTGCATAACGTTGGGTTGGACACATAGGCATGAATAGCTTTTCATTTACATTCATGTAAAGAGAAATGCACATATAAAAACATCACATTTACATCTTAAAATCTCAAGTTATAAAACTGTAAAAGAAATGAAAGTTTTAGCAGTTTAAAATGGATCGAAGAAAGTGCTCAAAAAGTTAAATGCAAGATAAAATTAGCATTCATTGGCCACGTTGGTGAAAAATAGCTTTATAAACACCAGTGAACCAGAAGGAAGTCATCGCGTCCCTTTACTGGGTAATTACTTGGACATGTATGTGGAAGGTTTGTTTAACAACACTTTTAATGCCCAGGTTTGTGGAGAACATAGCAATAGGATGTAAGAGCTCTTTAACACCGGCTGCAAGTATGTTAGCATTTGGCTGCATCGCTTTCCCAATTGATTCCATGAGCATCGTTATGCAGGACAATAGAATCAATATCTTCGTGCATGTCTGCCTATATGACAAACATTTTCGAAAGGGTTCCTCGTGTAAAGTTGCAAGACGGGATAAGCTGCTATTTAAAAACGGAAATGATTTTATTCAATTCTATCCAGTTCGTCTGCCGATTTCTCTGCAATCTTCCGTAAATTATTTACTCATTGTTTTTTTGAGTAGTTAAGGGTCTGTTGTTACGTTTGTGCAAACATATGTGAGTTATTTTGAGGAGAACGAGCATATAGCTTCTGAAATCCATCCTTGGCTTTTTGAGAGATGTAATTCTAATTCGATTTTTCTGTGTACATTGGTGTTACATAAGAACAGGATGACTCTCATGTGCATCATCGTTATCGGTATCACGATTATCTGACTGATCCACGGTGCTTCAGAGGAACTGATGGTTAACTAAATTTTGGAACAATTTGAACTTCATTGAGGTATATATATATATTCAGAATGTGAAACAAAATGAAAAGTGAAATACATCCATCCAAACAGAGGTCGAAATATTCAGAATGTGAAACAAAATGAAATATATCATAAACCTATCTAAATTAAGGTCGAAATATTCAGAATGTGAAGCAAAATGAAATATAAAATAAACCTATCTAAATTAAGGTCGAAATATTCAGAATGTGAAGCAAAATGAAAAGTAAAATACATCTATCCAAATTAAGGTTGAAATATTCAGAATGTGAATTAAAATGAAATATAAAATAAACCTATCCAAACTGAGTACGTGCATGCACACAGAACAATGTTCAAGGTCCTCATGATCATTTATAATATCAAATACAATGTCCAAGGAAAGGAGTTAAATATAGTATGCTTCAGACTCTAATAGAGAACGAATTTGAACTTAAATCATAAAATGATTCATTAGTGTAGACTTTAATGTTTGAATTTTTATAAAGGCTCATAGTTTTAATTACTCAGTTTGTTGATGTTGAAAAAATATTTGACATTATTTAATATTCTGATTTTGGCAGGAGGTGATGGAGTGGGGGTCACTCTTTAGCAACAGAAATCAATGAAAAGTGGTTGTCTAATATTTGCTATTGTTCAAGATCCACCGACGTTATGTGCAATGACCAAGAGAAATGCACTGAAAATGCATCAGATGTACATGGCTTCAATAGAACCGAGTCTGACACAAACATCATTGCCTACAAATGTTTCAGGCATTTTGAAAGGAAGGGTAATCTCTGTACACTGGAAGTTCCTTTAAATGTCGAACTTAATATATATCAGTGTCAGCTCTATTAGGTCACGTGATCTCTGCGGATGGTGTTGTTTGCGAGACTGTGTTCAATGGCTGCAGAGCCTGAACCGAAACTGTTGGAAGGGATGAACTATATACCGCACATCAAATATTGGCCTCGGGTCAGCCTCTGGTCATATAGTGGTATGAATTATTATCTCCCTTCGCTTCCAGACAAAATACAGAATCAATTGATTGTGACACATAACACTAGCAGTGATATTGATGCGAAGGTCAAGGCCGACTGTTCAGCTATCTCTGCAGGAGCAGCACAAATGCAAACTTCATTACCCCGGGGACACAAACGTAAACATTCTGGGACCCGAGCTTAGACTACGGCAAACGTTCGTGACCCGAATTACCACGCGTACTGTCGAGCGTTCTGCCCTAACCTGACCGTTAATTGCAGCTGGAATCTCTCGGGAAGGTGGCAAAGATGGCGGTAATTAATTGCAGCGTACATGATTATGTTTGGTGTGCAGCTCTGGGTGAAACATGCAAGCAGCACACGGCATCATGCTAGACCACTCATGTTGCTGTTGCTGTTACTGTTGCTGTGGTGTCGCAGCCATACCGTTCATCATCAATTCCACCATAGTTTCCAGTAACACAACGATGTTACAAAATATGGGGACATTTTTTACCATCATGACAAATGGACCCTGTTGTTGAATGCATCTCGTTTAGCTGGCCCAGTAAACTGCACCGTGCTTCGTCGTACCACGAGCAATCGAAACCTGCTAATTGACGGATGTGAGCGCATTTGATCACCATGTGCGATCGATTTGCTAGACATACAAGCAAAGAGACCCGACTGGGTCTTGAAGACGCAAATACCTCATAAATATCCGCCGTGAATAAAGCATATATAACCGCAGCGCTCACAATAAATTTCCCAAAGCCAACACAGCCAACATAAAAATATTATTCCTTTTAGTTTTTATGTGCACGAAGGATTTGGTTTCATACCTCTGTTTTCTTAGATTGTTATTTACAGTAAATGGCTAATACCTTACTGTGGAACTGACAAACTTAATCAATATCTCTCCTGTCAAGTTCTATTAGAGCATAGACCTGCGATCCACAATGGCGGACAACGACGGACAAACACCAAACACTGGCTAATTGAAACTGTTTTTTGTAGGAATTTAATCAAGTATCTACCCACACAGATCAAAGTTAATCGTTCTTGAAGATAATCATGGAAAAGGGTCATTTATAACCAGACGCAAACATAGCTGCGTGGCTTATTCTATTAGATTCATTGCCTCTGTTTGGGCGGCCCATTCTGTCCAGGCGAGAGATTCCTAAAGCTTGTGTTCCAAGAGATGCGATCTAAATGCCAGCGGAGTGTATAGAACTGGGATCGATAATCAAAGATGCTTGACTGTCCTCGTCATTTTTCCGTCCCCGTGTTGTTGCGATAGCTGGAGAAGCATCAGGATTGATCTCAGTCCTCTGCGTAGCAACATCGCCGGCCTACAACCGCCATGTCTACGGTTTACATCGTCGAGATGTATTTGCAAGTTGCAGTTCAAGGTTGAACAAGACACACGGAGCGAGGAGCGGCCAAGTGAATAACAGGCTCTGTTTAAGCTGCTTACAAAAAAACAAAAATCGTTAATTATCATAATATGGGCTGAATTACAATCTTCCTTGGATCAGCATAGTGAATTAATATTTTTTTATCGATTAACAGATAGATTTCCTCCTTTTGACATATATAACGGTGTTGGGAAAGCGTGGGAAGCGCATACTTATGTTTTTGTCATATTGTTGGATCATTGCCGCGTTACACAACAGATCACTATTCACCATGATGGGAATTTAACCAGGGCTCCAGTGTGAAGAGCGAGCACCCTACCTACTCACCCCTGTAAAATGTGGCGATAACGAGATGCCAATAAGCATGTAATCAACCTTTAACATTTGGAAGCATGTGAAACTAATGGGTTTGATGGAACCCCTGTTATCGCGAGATGCTACTTTGTTGAACACGATCTTGGTAGTTGGCAATCTCTAGATACTCCGAGAAACTCATTAACTACAGAAGTTTCCCGAGATGACGGACAGGATAAACTTTGTTGGAGTAAGACCAGGGAGGCAATTGACCCAAGCATCAAAAGTGAAGATGTAAACATATTTGACCTTGGATTTATCCTCAGCTTAAGGTATCGTTGATGTTTGTCTGTATCTAGGGATCGTCTATTTGGGTGGGTGTCTGGGGCCTTGGGGCTCGGGGTTCGGGGTTCGGGGCTAGGGGGTTGGTGCTCGGAGCTCGGGGCTTGGGGCTTGATGCTGGGAGCTGTTGGGATCTTGAAGCTGAAAGCTTGAGGTTGGAGGCTGGGAGGTCGGAGGTCGGGCTGAAACCTTGGGGCTGGGAGCAGGGAGCACGGAGGTCGGGCTGAAAGCTTGGGGCTCTGAGCTTGGAGCTTGGAGGTCGGGATTGAAGCTGGGGGGACTAGGAACTACGGGGATGAGTTGGTAGCCATGAGCACGGGGGTACGCCTGGGAGCTGCTAGCCGCTGAATACGTCAGTGGATACCTTTTAACAATGGCGGTTGGGAGATGAGAGCTCTACGTCTGGGAGTTCAGGGCTGGGACCTGAGACCTGGGACCTGGGAAGCGGATTTCTTTCAAAATTAATATTGCATTTTTAAGACATTTTTAACATGACAAAATACATAAAAATAGATTCTGAATTGTTTTGGTCGTATCAAAAGAATTCACCCCTCAAATGTACAAACAGCACAT